CAAGATCTCACCAAGTTGCCTGGGCTGGTCTTAAACCCGTGGGCTCAGACAGTCTACTCACCTTGGCCTCCCAAAGTGCTGGGATTACAAGCTGAGCTACCAAGGCCAGCCAGGCAGATAATTTTAAGAGTGCTTATTTTTATAAGCTTAGTAATATTTTGGATAGTTTTATTTGTGATGCATATTAATAACTATATAGTATATTTTTTTCCTTTCTGATACGTGCCTGTTTATAAAAATATACCCTTAGACTAGTGGTGAGCAATGGTCCCACCAGATCTGACTCAGTTCTTTTGTATCACCAGTGACCTAAGAAAGGCTTTTGCATTTTTATTTTTTATTTTTTTGAGTTGGAGTCTCACTCTGTCGCCCAGGTTGGAGTACAGTGGCACACTCATGGCCACCCCAGTGTCGACCTGCTGGGCTCCTGTGATCCTTCCGCCTCAGTCTTCCAAGTAGCCAGAACTCCAGGCATGCGCCACCACACCTGGCTAATTTTTTTGATTTATTCTAGAGATGAGGTCTCATCAAGTTGCCCGTGCTGGTCTTGAACCCACAGGCTCAGGCAGTTCACTTGCCTTGGCCTCCCAAACTAAGCCACCGAGCCCAGCCAGTGGCTTTTACATTTTTAACAGGTTGAAAGAAAATAAAAAGAAGACAAATGTCTTATGGCACATGAAATTATCTGTAATTCAAAAGTTTTATTATAATATTGCCACACTTATTTATGTGCTATGACTGTGTTCATGTTATAACAGTTGAGTAATTGCAACAGGGATCCCACAAAGCATAAAATTTACTATCTGACCCTTTACAGAATAATTTGCTCATTCCTGCTTTAGACCGTAGACTCAGAAATTTTTTATTTCTTATTACTAAATGAAATCAACCAAAAGATTGAAACCATTTTATTCTAGAAGTTTTGAAATCTGGACTTAATAAAATCCGAGCATTTTAGAGTTAGAAGGAACTTAAGAGATAATCTTCTTTATCTCTTTATTTTGCAAATGGAGGAGATTTCAATGAGAGACATTTTGAAATTAAGTTATAAATAAATTTTTTTGTTGTAAAGCAGGCTCAGTAATAAGCTGATAAAGTACTGATCTGTATCACTGGTTATTTGTTCTTATTTTGTAAAAGTATTTAGTTTTCCTTAAACAGTGTTGCTATTAAGAAAACTTTCTTTGGAATTTTTAAAGTAAATATTTTAAAATAAATATTTAAGGCATGTTAATAGCCTTTTTCTTTCATTATCAACCATAATTCTTTCAAATCTCTTGGGTATAAAGTTCTTTTTGTAAGAAGACCGAAAGTCTTACAGGATCAATTCCAGACATTCTTCATTAAGCTTCTATTGATTTAGGATTTAAAGCCCTAAATCATCAGAAATTTCAAGATAAATTGTTAATGTGTAAGACTGGTTTTGTAGTATTTCTTTTATTTTATCTGTGCATCCTTAGATATCATGAAAAGTTTAAGCTTAGTTCTTAAATATAGTCATATAATAGGATGTCATATTACTAGTAAATAACATTTTTATTTTCTGGTGTTAAATACAGATTTTCTTCATATAATTTTCACCTTATTATTGGCTCTTTTTGAAAACTCTCTACCTCAACAAAAAAACTCAGTAAAATTAATTTGTAATTAATTTGGGAAAAGGTGGTTCTTTAGTTGGTCAGTGTTCAAAAAATGGATGGGTTCACATCATTGGGACTGTCATCTAGTTAAATGCCACCGTGCATAGAAAAAGAATGTATTTTAGTAATGCATGTAAAGGCATTTGAACTTTAAAGAAGTCCATTAAACTAAACAGAAAAATTTTGGTCTATAATTGGGAAAAGTTAAGTCAATGATAACCTAGTTTTTAGGAAATCTGTCTGAATTTGGATTGATATATTCTGCTTCTCTGAAATTGGTTTTTTAACCAATAAACTTTGATGTTCTTCTAATCATATAGAAGGAGCTGACAACCTCTTACTAGTTATGTATTTCTGTTGCTTAAATAACTTATTTCACTTAAGTTGTCGTTAATATAAGGGAAGATTTTCTAAACCAACGGTCCCCAACTTTTTTGGCACCAGGGCCTGGTTTTGTGGAAGACAGCTTTTCTATGGATGGTGGGAGTAGGGGGAAGTTTGTGATGTGCAATCAAACCTAACTGCCAATGTTGGTCTGTATATGCAGTATCGCTGCCTCTGCTCCACCTCAGATCACTGGGCTTTGGATTCTCATAAGGAACGCGTGACCTGGGTCCCTTGTGTTCACCCTTTACAACAGGGTTTGTGCTCCTATAAGAATCTAATGCCGCTGCTGATCTGACAGGAGGTAGGGCTCACGTGTTCATGCAAGCAGTGGGGAGTGGCTATAAAAACAGATGAAGCATTGCTTGCCCACCGCTCACCTCCTGCTGTATGGCCTGGTTTCTGGCAGGCCACTGCCCAGTACCTGTCCATGGCCTGTGGGTTGAGGACCCCTATCCTAAACCACACATGAAAAATACTCATTGCTTTTCAGATATTTGTTCATCTGATATTTTTTTGAACATCTATGATGTCCGACACTGATGCATGTCCTAAAAGTAAAAAGTTGAAATAGACATTTTTCATGCTCTCACAATGCTAGTAGTTGAGTAGATTGTGTAAGCAGGTATGTCTGTTCAAGTTTAGCATTTGGCACTATTTGTTACTTTTTACTTTTGAAGCATATTATCTTGGGGAAATGTTGTCCACATACATGATTTCCATTTCCTCTTTTGCATCAAAATCTGTGTAAAGCAATCCCATGGATAACTTCATAGTGGATATTTTTGACTAGATAGCCTTTAAATGCATTCATGTTTCTATGGATCTGACTGGTTCTCTGCCTCTTTTACTCTCTTCTCTTCTTATTTTACCTCCTTCCTTTCTCCTCTTTTCAGTTTCTCAAAACGCTATTGAGTACTATCTCCTAGGTATTTTTCTGGACAGAGGTTAGAGCATTGAACAAGAAAGACATACCCCCTGCACTGTTGATGCTTACAGCTTAGTGAGGGAGCAATCAATACTTTAAATAATAATCCTGTACATAGTTACAGTTACAGGTTATACAATGAAGCAAAAAGATAAGATAAACCAAGAGTGCATATTAGGGAAACTCATCCAGTCTGGGAAGTTAGACTTTCCTGAGTGACACCTTTGCTAGGACCTCATAGTTGAATAGTGGTTAGCATGAGAAGATATGAGAGAGAATTTCAGGCAAAAAGAAAATCTTTGTGAAAGCCCCAGTGGAGCTCAATAGGTTCCAACAACTGTAAGAATGTCCTTGTGACTGAAGTATGAGAAACCAGGTGGAGAGGAATGCAAAATGAGGCAGGAGAGGTTGGCAGAGATTAGTTATTAGACGAGAATCTTTTAAACCATGTCAGTACTTTGGGACTTAGTATCTAAAGAGAATTGAGAAGATACTGAGTTTTAGCTGGAGGAATTACCCACTCACTTCTGTCTGTTCACTATATCACTTTTATTCCTTCTGCCTTGGGATAGAAGAGGGACGTGGATGACATTCTCAGTGTACAAAAAACCTCTAACAAATATAGTCACTCAGATTTCCAACCTTTATCCCTTTCGCATTTTTTGGGCTATGTGCAGAGTCAGATTATGGGAATCTTGAATGCCTTTTAAGTTCTTTTAAGGTTTCATTAAGTGATTTTTTAAAAAGTTTAAAAGTTGACTTGGGTTCCTATGTGAAGAATGGATTGAAGGGGGATTAATTTGGATATACAGAAATGAGTTGAGAACTTTTTACCAGTAGTTCAGGCAAGAGGTAGTGATACCTTAGATTTTATTAGCATAGCAGCAGTAAAGATGATGTGGACAGATTCAAGAACTATTTATGAGATACAATTGATAAGACTTTGTGATTATTTTGATTTGAGGAGTGAAGCTTAAGGAAGTGTCAAGGATGAAATTTTCATATGCTTTTTGCTCTTATTTGTTGACATTTTGGCATTTTGAATTCAAACATCTTCAGAATCAAGCCCCTTTTTCCTTTAGCAGACTGTTTTTTATGAATGACATCCCTATTTTTATGAATGACATCTCTACCTCCAAGTGACCTAGGCTTAAAACTTTTTTCTTTTGTCGTTACTCTAACTAAATTAGTTACCAAGTATGAAGGACTTGAACTCTACAGTATCTAACAACCTCCTCTCCTCCTTTTCTCTTTCTCTTCTCTCTTCCCTACCCCCTTTTGTCTTTATTACAGCAGTAGCATCCTCTTGTTATTAAACTGCACTTTTCATTTAAGGTTGAGAGCGCCTTGTGGGCAACAACTATCTTTTTCGTTTTGTGTATTTACTAGCTAGCAGTGTACATCTCAACATGGTGAGCGTAAAAAATGTTAAATGAAATAAAAATAAAGTGTTTTCCTAGCCTTTTGTTTCTTCTACTATATTTATTCTTTCCCACATTTTTTTCCCTCTTATTCAGTCATTTAGGTACTTCCTTTTGCTTATAGAATAATTTGATCTTGGGGCTGTGATATAATGAAAAACTGGTGACTGAATACATAATGTATATGAGTTGGAGATTTTCCTACAGTAATTTAGTAAAAAGTGACTCTTAAGCCCCATTGTGCTGTAGCCCTCACTGCAAGAGCAGGTTTTTTTTCTGAGAAGGGAACATATCTGATTATTAGCATCCCCACTGTTGAATAAAGTTTTAAAAAAAATCATTTGATATCTTTTTAAATGCTTTCACTTTATATAAACTTTTGCAGAATTCAAATTTTTATTATTTATCATTTAATATATATTTCTTAGTTGTCCCGTTGTGTTGTCTTCTTAATAACTACCTTTATATGTTAGTATCTCATTTGTATATGTAGAGCGTATTGTTTCATAGAAAGCTTGTAAGAAAAATATCCAAATACCTTTTTGGAAATACTTATTTTTGATAGCTTTGTATGTTCTCATATAACCATTTATAACTAAATTTTTCAATTTTTTTCTTAACTTTTAGGAATAAGAAAATTTTAAATAAAAAGAAGTTGAAAAGGAAACAGAAGAGCAAATCAAAAGTGAAGACAAGAAGCAAGGTAAAGCTGCTTGTAATTTATAGGGAAGAAGGACTTTTTCTATAGTGATTTGAATAAAAAGCCAAGATTTAAAAAAATGTGTATAATTAGCAAAACCTTTTCAGTTCTGTGCACTGAAGTAATTTTGTAAAAGTCCCTTATTATTTGGTTCCATTTTTAGTTTCATCTTTACTTTTGGATGTTTCTTGATCAGTAACCTAGAAGTTAAAATCTGAAAATTATTTATTATTTATCCTTTGAGCTCTTCTCTTCTTTCACCTGAAAAATAAACGGAATAAAGTTGACTTGTGAGTTGGAACTTGGGTTTGGGTTCATCATATGCCTTTCTTTTCTTTCTTTTTTTTTTTTTTTGAGTTGGAGTCTCACTCTGTCGCCCAGACTGGAGTGCAGTGGCCGCTCCCAGCCACCACAGCTTCGACCTGCTGGGCTCGGGCGATCCTTCTGTCTCAGCCTTCCAAGTAGTCGGATCTACAGGCGCGCGCTGCCATGCCTGGCTAATTTTTAAAAATTTATTGTAGAGATGAGGTCTTGCCAAGTTGCCCAGGCGGTTCTTGAGCCTGCAGGCTCAGGCAATCCACTCACCTCAGCCTCCCAAAGCATGGGATCACAGGCTGAGCCACCGAGCCTGGCCCATATGCCTTTCTTGACAGGAATTAGAGAAATTCTTGGTACATCTATACTGTTCTAAGCTTCTTTTGACTGTTAGTCGCTGTGTAAAAGAAAAGGCAATAGGGATATTTGAATTAGATGGGATCTTAGAGACCAAGGATCTCTTTTTTAACCTAGTACAGAAATGTTCTCTGTATTACGTGGTTTTTTTTCTTAAACATTTTCAGTGGCCAGAACCCACTGTATCTAACAGTCTCTTTTCTATTGAACAACTGTACTAAGAAACCTACACAGAAAGAAGAGAAAAGTCATGATTATGATTCCTGAACAACTCCACTTTGGATTAAAGAAATAACAGTGTAGCTGGGCCTGTGTATCAACTGAAGAGGGAGTTGTTTCCTGCCCTTTTAAATTAGTGTTCTTGCTGTTGTAATTGAGAAAAATATACTTCAAAGTAGTAAACTTAAAATAAAATAAAAGGGTAAAGGGATGGAATTTATTTGGTGGCTGTATCTTGAGACAGCTAGATTCAGGGATTAAATAATGTCTAAATCCATGTCTTTATCTCTTGCTTCTTTCCTATATGCGTGGGCTTATAGTCTGTGACTGAGGGCTAATATTGCTGGCAGATCCAACTTTATTTTCTTTGAGCAAGAGGCAATTTCTTCTACTAGTTATAGCATAAAGTCTTGGATAGGATTTAAAAAAATTTACCTGTGTCATTGACTTTTGCCAAGGTGATGGGGTACTTTGATTGGTTAGACTAAGTTGTATTTTTTTTTTTTTGAGTTGGAGTCTCACTCAGTTGCCCAGAATGGAGTGCAGTGGCTGCTCCCGGCCACTGCAGCCTCTACCTGCTGGGCTTTGGCAATCCTTCCGCCTCAGCTTCCAAGTAGCTGGAACTATAGGCGCGTGCTACCACGCCCGGCTAATTTTTGATTTGTTGTCTTTTGATTTATAGGTCTTGCCAAGTTGCCCAGGCGGGTCTCGAACCCGCAGGCTCAGGCAATCCACTCACCTCAGCCTCTCAAAGGTGCAGGATTACAGGCTGAACCACCGAGCCCGGCTCTAAGTTGTATTTTTAATGAGTGGTTCGGTGAGCATCCAAATGAGCAGACCACATGAACTGGGGGAGGAGTGGCTACCCTGAGGAAAGTGTTGCTGGGTGGGCAGAAAAATAATGTGTATATCTATCACTTTTATTACTTCTGCTTTTGGGATAGAAGAGGGAAGTAGACAACATTCTCAATATACTAAAAAACCTCTAACAAATACAGTCGTTCAGATTTCCAACCTCTATCTCTTTTCTGCTTTTTGGTACTATGTGCAAAGTCAGATTAGGGGAGTATTGAATGCCTTTTAAGTTCTTTTAAAGTTTCATTTGGTGATTTTCCTAAAATAGTGACAATATGATATCAAGGAAAAGGTGGGAAGTCGAGGTCTTTTGTTTTCTTCAATTTGATCTCTAACTAGCTTTGTGCCCTTAGTAATGCAACTTTCTTTCCTGGCTCTCAGTAGTTATATCTTCTTTTTAGGAGTAGCTTGTGATAAGAATGCTATAATAAATTCATTAATTTATTCCTCAAACTTTAGTTGCTGAGTATTTGCAGGTATTATACTAGGTGTCTGGGATACAAAGATGAGCAAGAAGCAGTTTTTGCTCATGATGAACATTTAAAATAGTAAAATGATATTATTAGTCTCTTTGACTTCTGTTACTGCTTTCAGATTATTTTTACCTGCCTTCTTTTTTAAAAGTTATTTTAAAAATGCCATTTAGCTATACTACTTTATAGCCTTAATTTTTGCTTCCCTGGCTCCTTTATTTTTCCTCATCCATCAGCCATCTTCTTTATTTAGTTTCCTTCTTACTCAGGTTAGATGACACAGTCTCTTAGAAAAACTCTTGCTTAATCTAATATTTTATTTCCCTATTACAAGTTTCTCAAATTACACAAACTTGGTGACTTAAAACAACATAAATTATCTTACAGTTCTGGAAATCTGAAGTACAAAATGGATCTGACTGGCCTAAAATCAAAGTGTCAGCATGATCGTATTCCCTCTGGAGGTTCTGGGGGGGCATTCTTTTCTTTGCCTTTTCAGTTTCTAGTAGCTGCCCAGATTCCTTGGGTTGTGGCCTCCTTCCATCTTCAAAGCCAGCAGTCATTGGTTGAATTTTTTTTTTATGCTGTAGCACTGAGAGTTTTCTGTTGTTTTATCTTTTTCTCTGACTATCCTGCCTCCCTCTTTTACTTATGAGGACCCTGGTGCTTTCATTCGGCCTGTCCAGATAACCCAGCATAATCTCTCCATCTCAAAGTCTTTGGTTTAATCACATCTTCAGAATTCCTTTTGCTGTGTTTGGTAACATATTCACAGGTTCTGGGCATGAGGGTGTAGATGTTTTTGGAGGCCATTATTCTGCCTACCACATCCACCTTGTATATTTTTGGCATTCATCTGACAAAATTCAATACTATAAATACAGCTATTTTCTCTTTCTCTAAAGGGAGAGTTCTATGTGCTGCTAGAGAGTTAAATGAGAGTTCACTGATAGCAGTACACATTCATGATTATCAATCTCAAATGGACCTTCCATAACCAGATTGTCTTGGACTGGTTTTTTTCTGGTCAAATAGTTTTCTCATTTTCTCCTATGATTATTTCAGACCTTTGCCATTCTCCTCAAGCCTCTGGTGAAACCTACCCTCCAGCATATAACTTCACTTTCTTATAGGGTAAATCAAATTTATTATTCAGAAAACTTCTTCTGTGACCTGGTACCAAACATGTCTCTGTCTTAGATCAGGTTTTTTAATAGCCACATCTGAAATAAGGATGTAAAGCATGCAATTCATTGAGTTTTGAAAGATAACATATACACATGAGACCATTACTACAGTCAAGGTTTAGAACATATCCATCATCTCCAAGGGTAGGTGATATTATCTATATTCCAAATAATTTCTCCTATTCTGTGGCTTGCACAGAGTAAGAGTTGTCATTTTAATGGTACTAAATCTTCCAATCTGTGAACATGGTATTTCTCTCCATTTATTTAAGTCTTTTAAATTTCACTTGGCAACAATTTTTAGTTCCAGTGTATTGGGCTTGCACATATTTTGTTACATTTACTTACAATTATTTTATATTTTTGATGTTTTGCAAATGCAGGTATTTTTAGCAATTTATTTTGTTTTGAGATGATTTCCATTATGAATACTTTAGAGACGTTCTGTATACCCTTTGCCCATTTTTCCCAGTGGTGATATCTTGTATAACTGTAGTTCAGTGCCACAACCAGGAAGTCATCACTGATGTAACCCACCCATCTTGCTCAGATTTCACTAGTTTTACATGTACTCATTTGTGTGTGTATGTGTTTGTGTGCTCCTAGGTCTGTGAAATGTTATCACATGTATAGGTCCATGTGACCTTTACCACAATCAAGATATACAACAGTTCATCAGAAGGATTCTTTGTGTTTCCCTTTATAGCCAAAGCCATCTCCTTACCTCGACTTCTCATTAGCCTCTGGCAACCACTGATCTCTATAATTTTACCATTTTAAGAATATTACAAAAATGGAAATGTGCAATGTGTAATCTTTTGGGATTGGCTTTTTTCCCACTTGGCGTAATTTCTTTGAGATTGATACAAATTATTTCATATATCAATAGTTTGTTCCTTTTTTTTTGCTGAGTAATTTTATGGTATGGATATACCACAATTTGTTTAACCATTTTCCTATTAAAAAAACTTCTGGGTTGTTTCTAGTTTTGGGCTTGCTTGTTTTATTTATTTATTTATTTATTTATTTATGAGTTGGAGTCTCATTCTGTCTCCTAGGCTGAAGTTCAGTGGCACGATCACAGCTCACCATAGCTTTGACCTCCTGGGTTCAGATGATTCTTCTGCCTCTGGCTCTGAAGTAGTTGGGCTACAGGCATGTGCCCACATTCCCAGCTAATTATTTATTTTTTATTTTTTGTAGAGATGAAGTCTCACTATGTTGTCCAAGCTGGTCTTGAACTCTTGGCCTCAAGCAATCCCAAAGTGCTAGGATTACAGGCGTGAGCCACCATGCTTGACTGCATCTATTTTTAAATAAAGCTGTTATGAACATTCATGTACTGGTTTTTGTGTAAATGTAAATTTTTTTATTCTATGGTATATGTTTAATTTTGTAAGAAATCGCCATACTTTTTTCCACAGTGGCTGTTCCATTTTACCTGATCATCAGCAGTGTATAAATGATCTAGTTTCTCCTCATGCTCACCAGCATTGTGTGTTGTCACCATTTATTTTAGCCATTCTGATAGGTGTGTACTATATCTTATTTTATTTTAATTTACATTTTCCTAATGGTAAATGATGGTGAACTTCTTTTTATGTGCTTGTCTTCTGTGAATCTTCCTCAGTTGCGTGTCTGTTCATATCTTTTGCCCGTTTGCTAATTGGATTCCTTGTTTGTTTTAATTGTTGAATTCTGAGAATTCTTTATATATTTTGAACACTGGTCCTTTGTTGGATATGTGGTTTGCAGATATCTTCTCTCAGTCTGAGGTTTAATGCTATTTTTATTTTTTGAGTTGGAGTCTCACCCTGTCGCCCAGGCTGGAGGGCAGTGGCACGCTCCCGGCCACCGCAGCCTCGACCTGCTGGGCTCCGGCGATCCTTCCGCCTCAGCCTTCCAAGTAGCTGGAACTACAGGCGCGCGCTACCATGCCCAGATGATTTTTGATTTATTGTAGAGATGAGGTCTCGCCAAGTTGCCCAGGCGAGTTTCGAACCCTTGGGCTCAGGCAGTTCACTCACCTCGGCCTCCCAAAGCACGGGATTACAGGCTGAGCCACCGAGCTGGCCAATGCTATTATTTTTAAAATTACATTTTTCAATTGTTCATTCCTAGATAGGGATATATTACTTATTTTTATATACTGATCTTATATCCTGTGACTTTGCTAACTCTACAAATTATTTTTGGTAGTTTTCTTGCCGATTCCTTAAGATTCTTTACATGTCTTTTACAAAGACATATCTTTTCTAGAAGATACTTCTTTTCTAACTTTGCCTTTTTTCTTGGCAATGTTGATGAGTTGCTGAGAGTAGATGTATTTGCCTTGTTCACAATCTTAGAGGAAAGACATTCGATCTGTTACTGTGTTAGCTGTGGGTATTTCAAGTTGAGGAAGTTCCTGTCTATTCTTTCATTTTTTCTTCATCATGAATTGGTATTAGACTTTTGTCAGATGCTTTTTCTGTGTTTATTTACAGTATCTTATGTTTTTTCTCCATTATTACACTGAATGCTTTTCCAGTGTTGTGCCAACATTGCTCTTGGGTTAAACCTCAGTTGGTCATAATATTCTTTCTTATATTGTTGGATTTGGGTTGCTGGTATTTGCTTGTTTTTAATACCTCTGGAGGACACACTTGCAAGTTATATGCCAATTTAACAAGAGTACTTTTTCCCAATTATTTAAGGAAGAAGGGTAGAATTTTGGGACCAAGTGTTTTTGGTACTTAAGCTTCCATTTTATTTATTAAATATACTTCCTGAACATACTCTGATTGTTGGAACTTGCATTTTAACAATAATCTTAAAATGGTTCTTTATATTTGTGATATAAATGTTGATCTTGACAGTATGGTTGCTGTCTGATGTATACAGTGCTAAGCACAAAAGAGAAATTTAGTTTTAACAAATTACCAAGCACATGATTTTCAGTAGTTAAGAGAAAGCTTTGAGAAGTATATGTCCATCATCTGTAGTTTTCTTGGCATTACTGTTATTTGAATAAGAATAAAATGAGAATTGATGAAAATTCAGGAATTTTTTTTTTTAGCCCTAATTTCTGTGTACATTTCTATGTCTGCTTTTAAAAGAATACAGAATGTAATTCAACATTTCTAGTTCATTGAGACTCTATAGCATATCTGGTGTCCCTTAGAAAGGCACCAAATTAATTTCCCTTGAAACGATACTCTAGCAGTGAAACTTTGTTGACTCAATTCCTATCATGGGAATAAAATAATATTTTAAAGTTCTTTGCCTATCCAGTTTTGGCCCTTGTCAGGTTGGTTATTTCTGTGTTACTAAAAAAATAGTGAAGTACGAAAAAGAGTACTAGAAGTTGAGTCCATAGACTTAGTATGTGCTACTTAATGTGACTTCTGAAAGTCAGTTAACTGTCTAATTATTACTTTTTTATTTAAAATAGGAATTGAAGGTGATGGAAAAGAATGTGAAGTTGAAATATTCTATTTTCTATTTCAGTCTGAAAGCTTGGAGAATACAGTAATTATACCAGATATCAAACTACATAGTAATCCTTCTGCTTTCAATATTTACTGCAATGTACGGCATTGTGTTCTGGAATGGCAGAAAAAGGAGCTATCATTGGCAGCTGCATCTAAGAACTCTGTGCAGAGTGGAGAATCAGATAGTGATGAAGAGGAGGAATCCAAAGAGCCCCCTATCAAGCTTCCAAAGGTAAGCTACTGAGTTCTATTAAGATGTGTAACCTATAGGTATTTTGACTATAATACACATATAAGCATTGCTAAAATAATTTTTTGTAGACTTGTGCACTAAGAATAACATTGCTTATGGATCAAAATAGGTTTAAAGAAGAAAAGGAAAACTGCAACTTTGTAACCGGAATGTTAACAAAGTCACTAATTGGTAATTTAATGGGAGGTGCTTGGAAAGCCCAGGCAAGGAGATCAGTTGATTGGAGTCTGTTACAGGTACTATTAAAAATGTACAAAAGCGGTATAGTGAAAGTACTGGCATAGAGTCATTGGACCATGACAGATGGAAGTGCAGCTCTGAGCCAGTGGGCTGACAGTAAGGTGGGCACAAGAGAAAGTACAAATGACAACAAGCCAAGAGCCCTGGAAAGCTGGAGGTGTTCCTTGCTGGGAGGGATCCCTGGATGCAGGTATGCATTTTTATTTTTCTTGAAATAGAACTAAAAAGGATCTTGGCTGTGCAGTAGTTTAGCTGAGAACCTTTTCCTTTTCTGTCTAAGTTTATAATTGTACTCTTGATGTTCTAGCTTCCCTTGCTTAGGAAGAAAATCACATATGAACCAATCCAACTTATATGTTATTCTGATGTTACTCCCTTATTTACCAGAAATACATAAGCTCATTGGTATAATAGAAACATTAAGACAAACTATTCTTAATACACTCTATTCTGTTTAAGTATTGGTATATTTCCAGACTTTAATGTTATTTAATATGTAATACATATTTTTTCTGTATAATTGATGTAGCTAGTATTTCTAACACAAGAATAGTTGAAAATGTAGACATTTAAAAAAATTGATACTTTTATATGATCTATGAATATGGCTTTTTTCTGAATATGTATGTATTTTAAAATATTTATTTATTAAAATGATTCACATGTATTGCTTTTTTATTAAATTGATACCCTAAAACTATGCCCTAAAAACTTATACATACACATGAGAGATCATCTAAATATTTTTTACTACTTGGAAATAACAGCATAAATGAAACCTGGTCTGATTTCTCTTGTATATGTTGCTATTCCTACATGTACCACCATCCTTAATTGTACTGTCAGGTTCTCACTGTATTCTCAGCAAATGACTTCATATTTCATAGGTAATAAAGGTGTTGTATACTTCCTTGATTTATTAATCAGCCATCTTCCAATGTCTCTATCTCTTCCTGTTTCAGGGCAGGACACTTCCCCTTCCCTTATTCCTTCTGTGTCAAATGTCTTAACAGCACCTACTCTGTTAGTTTCTTTCTTTAACCTAAAACAAGCATGAGTGTCCCTCCAGGTAGAGACCATGTCTCTGAGTGTAATTCTTATGCTTAATGAGGTTAAGCTAGGATGTAAGGCTGCAGGATTTGTATAACTTACTTTTAGTCAGTAAAACCTTTCTTTGTTTGGGTGAGTCATAGTGTACAAGGTAATCACACTGTTTAAGGTCGGTATTGTGAGAGAAAACAAAAGCCTGGAGAAATCTTTTAAACAGGTATGCAGATTTTGAATAGTAAACTGTAGTTAAAATTAAAAGATATGACATTATCAAGAATAATGCATTATTAGGCTACCTTAAAACATCGGGATAAATGAGTATCAAGTAACTAAAACATTGGACATTCTTTTTTTTTTTTTTTGAGTTGGAGTCTCACTCTGTCGCCCAGACTGGAGTGCAGTGGCCGCTCCCGGCCACCGCAGCCTTGACCTGCTGGGCTCCGGCGATCCTTCCGCCTCAGCCTTCTGAGTAGCCGGAATTACAGGCATGTGTTATCACGCCCGGCTGATTTTTTTGATTTATTGTAGAGATGAGGTCTCGCTGTCCAGGCGGGTCTCGAACCCGCGGGCTCAGGCAATCCACCCACCTCAGCCTCCCAAAGGCGCGGGATTACAGGCTGAGCCACCGAACCCGGCGGGCATTCTTAAGATATCTTTTTCAGCACAATTAACAGTCAAAAGGGAAACTTGCAAAGAAAATTAAGAGAAGATCAGATGGCCAAAGTGATTAGTATTGAGTTTTTCACCAGGTATTGGCCTGTTTGGAAACAGGGTGTAGTGGTTAGGAACATGGATTATGGAGCCAAATTGCTTGGATTCAAACACTCACCATTAAATAGTACTAGCTATGTGAGGCTGGAAAAGTTATTTCACATATCCATGCCTTAGTTTTGTCTTCTATGTGGTATGGTTGTAGTTACAGTTTAAATGAATTAATGACTGCTGGATGTTTGAGAGACTACTACTTGGCACAAAGAAGTGCTCAGTAAATGATAGCTGTAGTTAACAAGCATCAGGTTAGGTGCAAACAAGGAAGTATGCAGGTGCAAGTGAATTTGAGTTACTTATTAAGGAACTCTCCAGTTTACTAAGAAATGCTTTACATCTAAGGGAAATGAAACTTTGTAGAGAAATATTATAAACACCTTTACAGTATAGTACTATATAGCTGGTTGTTTTAGTTGCGTACCTGGACTAACTTGACTGGATTTATGAACAAATTGGACTTACGAATACATTCTTAGAATGGAACTCGTTCATATGTAGGGGACTAACTGAACAACAAAATTGTTAAGGAAACAGAATTGACAGGAATTGATAATTAGTTGGCTATAAAGGCTGAAAGAGAAGGCAGAATCTAAACATAATCTTAAAGGTTCTATGTGGTGATTCTGTGTACTGAAAGGGGGGGGAAGTAGAGGAGGAACAGGGCTTTGCTGGAAAGATGATTAAGTTTAGTTTTGCATGTACTGGTTTTTAGGTAGATATGAAATATCCGATGTGTACTTTGTAGGGTTAAAGTTCAAGAAAAATGTGTCAGCTAGAAATAATAGGTTTGGGATGTGTGGACACATGTTGAAACAAAATTCTGAGAGGTAGGAGGGGGTGAGATCAAGAATATTGTTTGAAAAAATAAATTAGCTTTGAAAAGTTGAAAGAACACTTGCTCCTCTGGCTGTGAAGAGAAGAAGATGTTAGTAATTGTGGATGCATTTGTATGTTAGAGATGAGGAGCTTAGAATGTTTCACATTCAAACCTTCTGAGAAGCAGGATTTTTCTTCCTCTTTTTTTCTTCTTCTCTTCTGCTGCTGCTTCCTCTGCAGTTGCCTTCTTTTTGCTTTTACTCCCTTCCCTGAGATTTTTAATTTTTTTTATTATTTGTAAACATTTTGAGTTTTTTCAAGTGTATCTTATAAGTATTGGAACTAATCCTAAAACTTTTTAATAGAACTTTATATAATTTTTGATGGCAAAGGGTTATAAATATTGTTAAATCTAGATGTGATGTAACTAAACTTTTATGTTCATATTTATTAGTAAAATAATAAAGCCACCTTTGGAAATAATTTAAAAAGAGCAAAATAAAACCTTGAAAAGACTCATTAAATCATTTTTCTTTGCCAAGTATCTTTTTAATCTCACTTTTCCTAGCATTGACATTGGATTGAGGCTTTGTATTCATTTATCTTTCAAATATAATAGATAGACTTAAGAACATAATTATTTGAAAGCAAAAGTAAAGGTAAAATTCAGTAAATTTACAAAAGACTTTTCTGAAAAAAAATGAAAAGCCATGTGCTGGGTGATTAGTTATGGTGCATTGTTGAAAGTATTGAAGTATGTTATCTTATTAATTCATTATTATTCTACTTAAATTTCACATTTATTATTTTTAATTACAAAAGTGGTGCATATTCATTGTAGATAATTTGAAACATGCAGAACTTTTTTTATAGAGAAAATAGAAATTAGAAATAATCTTTGAAATTTCATTAGCTAAAAATTACCCAAAATAAGTGTTTTTCTTTGGTCATTTTTTCTATGCAATGAAAATGAAATAATACTGTATTTACCATATTATATTTTTTCTCCTTGTATTCTCCTCTGATAGAGAGGAGGTATATATAAGGGGGACCCCCCCAAAAGCCAGAACTTATTTATTAAAAATTGTGTTATTATTCTTATTTACTCAAACTTCAGTCACCTTCAAAGTACTCTCTGATGCAGTGCACCTATCAAGACACTTTTTCCACTGCTCAAGACAGTTTTTGAACTTGTCAATTTTGATGCCTTTTAGTGGTTCTGCTATTTTTTGTTTCACCTTTTCCACACTGGCAAAATGTTTCTCTTTGAGGACTTTTTTCATCTGGGGAAACAAAACAAAGCACTCTGGGCTAGATTGGGCCTTAGATAGGGAGATTGAGGCATGTAGGTCATGCCGTTTTTGGTAAAAAACTGCTGAACATTCATTGTGTGTGAGCAGAGGCGTTGTCATGGTGGAAGAACCAGTAACCTGTTTGCCACATTCAGGATGTTTCTTCTGCAAATCATGATGCTACCTTGTCAAAACTTCTAGATGAAAACTTTGGTTGATCTTTTGATCCATAGGAACAAATTCAGAGTATACTGCAAGGAGCTCGCCCTCCAAAAGATAATTCCTTTTTTGGGGGGGCGCCCCCTTGTGTAGTGTATTTTCAGTGACTTTAAGACAGGCTTCAGCCTGTAAAGTCTGCTTTCAAAGTTCTAACATTTAGTAAGATAATCTCTCCTTAGCCAAACAGCAGAAAAATACTTATTTAATAACATGTTTTGTACTTCTCAATAATTCAGAGCTAAATATTAAAAATTATTTTAATAGTTGGAGAATTTGAGGTTGATTTTGTCATATATTGAATACATATATTACTATTCTAGAAATGAATTAGTTTTTCCATTTATTAAATGGAAAAGTCTATACTGAAGATATGGATAATTAATGAGAATCTGCAAACAGATGAGGAATTTTCTGTCATGAACGTTGAGACTGAAGTTTTATGGGCATGTTTAAAATCAGCCAGCACTCTGTTCTTAGGCAGCCTACCTGGGTGGCCTGTTGTCATATATTTGTTTTTAAACTAGAGAGAGAACTCAGGAACCTGTTTAGTAATCAGCCTTATTGTTTTTGACAAGATTCAGTGATTTCTTTATCACCACAGGACCTTTATTTGTCAAAATGAATTTTGGCCAAAAATGTCATATGTGAAGAATCTTCTTGGAGTTATGAAAAGTCATGACGGGTAGTATAGTAAACAGTTGGAAAGACTGATAGGGTGTAGTAGTCTCCCAGTGACTTGAGAATAGAGCCCCATATTTTGTAGCTAGGAGATCCTTGACTTCAGATTTTTCTTTCCTGTAAGTATATAAGCAGATGGAAATCTTAGACAGCATGTTTTTATTTTCTAGTTCATTCCAAGAAAAGAAACTTTATCAAATGAAAAAATTTCATCATTTAGTGTATTTAATCAAATGAAACTCTATGCGGGTTCTTCTTTAATAGTAGTTGTAATCTGCCCTGCTAGGATTTTAGATACTTTCTCTAAAGACAATCCTCCTAGTTATTTTGACTTCTCAGTTATATCTGTATTTTCCAGAAACCTTGCAAGTGTTAATCAGAACTGTAGTTGACTTGCCTACAGCTGATTTGACTCTTGTGTGGAAAATGTCTTTTCCAGTGGTTTTTAGCATACAACTTAGTGAATTATTAAGCAAATATTTATTATGTGCCCATCATATGCAAGGCAATGGATTAGGCATAGGTTATATTAAGCTATTTAAGACATGTTCCATAAGGAGGCCACAGTATAGAAGGAAAATGGAAACAAAAAATAGTAACACTGTAATGTGATAAAGGCTATGACAGAGATCTGAGGTGGTGACGAAGTATTTATATGGCTCATTTACCCTATTAGGTGATAAACTCATAAAGAACAGAGGGTATCTCCTGTAGTAAGTTGCACAATATAAATGCTTAGGAGATATTTATGTAATATATTAATCAATGCAAAAATGTCAGTAGAGAGAATATTCTTCCACTGTTGTGTCCAGCAGAATTAATGCTCCAGACATTTCTACTGATGAGTCTTGTTTTAACTTTCTGTTAATTATTTCTGCAAACAATTTACTTTACTATATCCTGAAGAAATCTTATACATTTTGTACTTAATACGTTGACATAAACTGAGAAATGGAATGTCATGTCTCTTATCAGTCTTCTGAAGGTATGTCCTTATGATAGTTTATTACAGTTTGCTTGCTCAGTCTTTGTTAAGATTTATCTCTTTTGCTAAGACTTTTCTTGCTTTTGATGAGGAATGATAAGATAAGTAAAAGTACTGGTGATATTTTTAGCTACACAGTTTTTAATTCTTTTTTGTGATACTCTTACCCATTGTAGGAAAGGTTAAGATGAAAATTGCCTTCTTAAATCTTTTTACTACATGTGCAATGTTGACTTTACTTCTGGTTGTGAGTAATAATTAACATGATTTTTAACAAAAAGAGTACCAAATTTTACCTAAGTACACCCAGATGAACCTGTAAATTAATACAGTTTATTTCTTTTGAGTGAATGCAATCTAGTCTGTAGTTCATTGTTATAAACCATTTTCATGATATTTTATTATGACTCTGTTGTACTAAAAACTGCTTTTTAAACAGTTCAGCTATTTTTTAGTCTTCCATGTTACCAGATGGTTTTCTAAGTCTTCATATTAAATATACTTTTTTTAAACAGGTTTGCTTTTAAAATATTACAGTAGTCTCCTGTGAAAGTAACTTGCATCAACGAAACTGCCTGAAAAGTATTATTAGCTTACATGTTATAAAGTATACTTTTTTTCCCTCTTAAACAGATTATTGAGGTTGGACTTTGTGAAGTTTTCGAACTGATCAAGGAGACACGATTTTCTCATCCATCCCTGTGTCTCAGGAGTCTCCAAGCTCTGCTCAATGTACTTCAGGGACAGCAGCCAGAAGGCCTCCAGTCAGAGCCCCCTGAGGTCCTAGGTGAGAGTCCAGACTCATTAAGTGAAACATTTAAAAGTGAATATCAGTAATAGAGCATTGTACATTTTTAAATTGCTGAGCAAGTAAATTTTTAATACTCTCACCACAAAAATATTAAATATTTGAGGTGATGCATATGTAAACTAACTTGATTTAATTATTCCACATTGTATTCATGAATCATAAAATTTTATATTCCATACATTTATACAATTATAAATTGTCATTTTACAGTTTAAAAAAGGCAAGAAACTTCTCTTATGAAGTACACAACAGTCTATAATGTAGTCTTTTTTTTTTTTTGAGTCAGAGTCTCCCTCTGTTGCCCAGGTTGGAGTGTAGTGGCATGCTCATGGCCACCACAGCCTTGATCTGCTGGCAATCCTTCTGCCTCAGCCTTCCAAGTAGCTGGAACCACAGGCATGCACCACCACGCCTGGCTAATTTTTTAATTTATTGTAGAGTTGAGGTCTCGCCATGTTGCTTAGGCTGGCAGTTATTAGCTTACATGTTATAAAGTATGCCTGAGCTCAGGCAGTCCTCTAGCCTTCGCCTCCCAAAGTCCTGGAATTACAGGCATGAGCTACCATGTCTGGCCTATAATGAAGTCTTTAATTGTGGAACTAAAATAGCAGGTACTAAAAATGCCTTATAAGTTTTAAGGTATTTTTGCAGTGTTCCATTAGAGTTATGGTTTAAGAGTTATAGTTCACTCACACACATTTCTTGATTATTGTGATGGTTGGAAGAAAACAAAACATAAACCTTTAGAATCCAGAAATAATTCTCAAACCTTAAGGTCACTACTAATTTAAATCATTCTTATTAAACCTTTGACCAAAATAGCTAACATTCTCTTTTTTAACTTTATTTGTTACTCTGGATAGTTTTTTAAAAATAAAAAAAAAAAAGGAAATAAATGCTACAAACCTAAAACAGTACAATTAGTTTTAAACTGAGAGGACATTTCCTTTGTATTCATCATATAAATTGGTTTGTATTATGACTGAATCGTCTGACTTAATAGCTACTTTTATTAAATAAAGTGTTGCTTTTCTTAAAGTGTGTTTCGGTTTCATGGATGCTTACCTTTCATGCCAGTTACTTATGGTCAACTTGTAATCTTGTAAACAAGATAGGAGCTTTTACTTAAAAGGTATTGAGTCATAGACATGTAGATGGGAGCATACTTTTTAATTGGTTACTTGCTTTTTTTCTCTGCTGTTAATTATGGACCTGCAAATAGTCTAAAGTTTCTACGCCCTTCTGGTACAGGGCAGTTCTCAGAAGTCCTAGAGTTATGGTTCTCAAATATTAGCATGTATCAGAGTCATCTGGGTCTTACCTGTGCAGTTTCTGATTCAGTAGATTCTTGAGCCCCAAGAATTGTCATTTGGAATAAATTCCAGTTGATGCTCATGCTGCTGGTCTGGGGACTGCACTGCTGGTCTGGGTACTGCACTATTGGTCCGGATTAACATTTGGTTCTTTTTGGATTTTATTAGACCCACATGTGAAAACCAAATTGTATAAGGCTAATTATATGTCAGATTTTTCTTTTTTGGGGTCACATATGGTGATGTAGTTTTTGTGTTTGATTTTCTTTTTCTTTTTTCTTATTTAAGTGAAGAAAAGGGATGCTGGTCATTGAAACAAACTCAGGATTTTTAAAAGCAACTTCTGCTCACACACACACACACACACACACACGCACACACACACGCATATGCATACACACACACACACACAGTTATTAAATGCTATTACCAATTGAAAGCTGTCATACCAAGAAGCACACACCTTGGTTATTGTTACGGTAGCACCAGTGATTGTATTAATATTGTGAAGTGCTATTTGGCTTGACAGAATTTTACTGAAGATCTGATTTATTTTATTTTATTTAAGAATATTTTGTTGATTTTACTCAGCTCAGGTTTGCCAGTTAGCAAATAATTGGAATATTTTAAATATTCACTAAAACATATATTTTCTACTTTGAATGACATGCTAATTCTTTCTTCCTAGATCTTCTACATTATCTTGTCTCATATCAGTTGTTATACACTTTGGTTTGTATCCTTTCTGTACAAAAAAACTCAATTTCCTTAATTTAAAAAAAAAGATCTTATTATTAATACTGGTTTTGAAATTATAATTTGTGCTTTAGCCTAGTCATCTATTTATCAAAACTTTCACTTAATTAGTTTGCTCATATTTATTTTCTTGTTAACAGTTTCAAATGCTGCTATCCTGGTCTTTGGTCTCTGTTGTCGGTCTTTTCAAAGTTTACTTCTGATCTCTTCCCTGCTTTAAGTTATTTTTCTGTATAAAGGATTTATCATTACTTCATGTTTTTGTTTTGTTTAATTAGCTCAAAGATATAAGTATTCATTTAGTTCTTTTATATTAAGCTTCTGTGGAAACTTGCCTCTACTTTCCTTTGATCTAATATCACAATCTCATTGGTTACCCTTTTTTCCCATTGGGTTATTTTCATGTTGTTCATGAAAATATATATATTTGTTTAACTCTTACTGATTAGTAAACATCATGCTTCTGTTTACAAATAGATTTTGAGTTTTAAATCATCTGCTTGAAAAAGTTATTCCCTTATATCTATGTTTCTGTTTAATTTAAGGTCAGAATATATGTTCTCAAGTATTCACTTAAGTTGTAATAGCACCTCCTATATTATGTGCTAGGAATATATGATACCATTGCTATTGTAATGGAACTTAGCATCTGACTAAATGGGACACTTATAATTATAAATGTGGTTAAATAGTATTGAGGAAGGTAGGAGTTCTGAGAGTTGTTTTTTTTTTTTTAACTTTAAAGACCTCATTTATTTATTTATTTTTAGAGATAGGGTCTCACTGTGTTGCTCAGGTCATTCTCCCACCTCAGCATCCCAAGTAGCTGGGACTACAGGCATGCTCCTTCTGAGTCTTTAACAGGCTTTCCTAAAGATGAGTCATTTGAGATTTGAAGGATAAATAGGAGGGAGTGACCTAGGTTATAAATGTTCCAGGCAGAAAGGACAGCATAAGTAATTCTCTGAGGTGAGAAGGAGAATGAGTGGAAAAAGACTGTCATGGCCAGAATATGGAGAGTGAAGGGAGGGAGGGTCTTGTGTCAGGTGAGGAAGGAGACGGGGAAATGTGTAGCTTTATAATCCATGATAAAGACTTTGGTTATTGTCCTAGGAAAATGGAAAGTCATTATTTCACTACAGTTTAAAAAATTCTGTTTTACATGGCACTCATAAATTTTTTTTGAAAAAATTGACTGTTTTCTTCTACTTGAATCTCCCTTTTTTGAAGGCAGAGGCATTGTCTTTTTTTGCCAGTATACCACCCCAATCTAGAATAGTTCCTAGTGTTCAGGAAGAATTCAGTTTAGTAAATATTAGTTGGATGATTAGAAGATAGATTTGCGGAAGGATAATGGGAGGAAAGATGGACAAAAGGAAGGATAGACAGAGAGGGGATAGATGAAAGGATGACGGGAAGGCAGGATAGTTGGAAGGAGAGGTAGAGGAAAGAATAGATGGAAAAAATGAAAGTATAGGATATATAGACAAGTGAAAGGGGGGAGAAAGGAAAGAAGGAACAGGAGAGCAGAAGGAAAGAATTTAACAAGGGAGTGAATAGGAAAGAAGGAATAGGAGGGAAGAATAAATTAACAAAGGAGTGAATGAACTTTAAGTAAACAACTAGATTTTTGGTTTGAAAATTCTCTTTGACTGTAAGGGAACAAAAGTGAATAATAGGAGATAATTTGTAATTTGGAAGTCCAGTAAAGAGACGGTGATAACATGGATTGGAAAGATGGTATTGAGGTAGAGAAAAGTAGAGGAATGACTTAGGAAGTAAAATAAATAGTACTTAATTTGGTATTAGTTATGGAAGATGAAGAATTGAGAAGGGTGCACTTAGTTTCTGTGAGTTACCAAATAAACTACAGGTGGCCTTTTAGCTTTCAGAAAATTGCAGTACGTTATTAATTACTTTCCCTTGTTCACCTCTCTCCCTTCCCTTTCCTTCTATTGATCTATCTCAGTTTCCCTCCCTTCCTCCCTCCCTTCCTCCCTCCCTCTGTTCCTCCCCACGCCACCCTCATCCCCACTTTTTCACTTTAATCTTCCTTCCTTTCTATAGAGGAAATACCTACTAGGTGTCTACTGATTGAATCTTGGATGGAGTTGTTCAGAGAATTTTGTGTAGAGACCTCTGCTGGTTGTAGAACATTCATATGTTATTTTTTTTGTCTTTACCACTAAAGGGCTTTATGATTTAGAGAAAATCTCTTAACTTCCCTGTGTTTCAGTTTTCATTATCCACTACAGGAGGACAGTATCTGTCCTATTGACTAGAATTTTTTTCTAGGGTATAAATGAATTATATTCTCCCCTCTATAAGTGTGAACTTCTGAATATTACTGATAAAGCCAGTTTTGTATCAATGCAAATTATAGCATATATTTTATGTATTATACTTTTGTTTCACAAATATAAATGTGATTTTCTGGACGCTTAATTTTTTAAAATTTCTGGTAGTCAAATTTATTTTAATGTTAGGAAATCTATTAATATAATTCATTGGACACTTAATATTTTAAGGGGCCCATACTCCTTCCAATCTAACAGGTGAAATAAGTGCAATGAGTAGTCTCTTATGTGGAAGGATGAGTTTCTTGAATATGTGAATGTCTCTAGGCAAGCTTGTTTTAAATGACCTTAGATTTCATCTTTAATTACAAAAATAAGGAGTTGAACTAAATGTTCTCTAAGGCCCTTGTTATATAAATATTTTGACTTTGAGGGGTAAAAGTTAACTAAAAAGAAACTAATACAAAGTAAGTATTCTATGTGCCTTGAATTTTGTTAATAATGAGACAAAGTATAAATAAATATACACATATAATGTTCTGTATGTTAAATGAATATAATTTAATTCTGTTTTATCCACAGAGTCTCTCTTCCAGCTTCTTTTGGAAATCACTGTTCGAAGTACTGGAATGAATGACAGCACCGGACAGTCCCTGACAGCACTTTCCTGTGCTTGCCTCTTTAGTCTGGTGGCTTCTTGGGGAGAAACAGGAAGGACACTTCAGGCCATCTCTGCTATTCTCACCAATAATGGAAGCCATGCTTGCCAAACTATTCAGGTATTTCATATTTATAGCTGCTTAGAAACTTATAAGTTGCCTTGTTGTAGTTTTATCTCAAACTCTTGTAGGAATTCCCTGCTTTTTCTCATTACAGTAGCTGGATCTGTCCAAGGTTGATATATAAATAATCTACGGTATTTGGGTTAAGCTATGTGTATATTTAACTCTTAAGCATTAAATATAATAAAATGAATTTAGACAACAACTTAGAATTTTTTTTAGCTTGAAAGTGTACTTTTTTTATTTTAAAGATGTGGGGTACAATTCAGGATTAGGTATACAAATGGTCATCATACAGGTAAAGTTTGGGTCCTCCTTTGGTCCCCACTTTGCCTAGTTTGAGATCAGGTACCCTTATTGATGTTGTGTGCCCACCCCACCGCCAATCCTTGCAGTGTCCCGCTACTGCCAATTCCTTTCTTGCAGTATTATGGTAATTGTTCAGGTTCCACTTACGAGTGAGAACATGTGGTACTCTCTTCTTTGTTTCTGTGGTAGATTACTGAGTATGATATACTCTAAATTTGTCCAAGTTGCTGTGAAGTCCATATGTTTGTTCTTCTTTATGGTTGTGAAATATTCCACTGTGTATATGTACCACATTTTTTTTAATACAGTTCATTTTCAGTGGGCAGCACAGTTGGTTCCATATTTTTGCTACTGTGAATAAAACTTAGATCTTTAAGCTGATCTTTGCATAAACAGCACAACTTTTCTTTGTATTGTCTTGCTTTCTGCCTTCCCTCCTCCTCCCATCTTGCCCTGAATTTCCTAGTAGGAATTTTTTCATAGTTTTAGATACGTTTTCTCTAATGATAGAAAAGGGATGGCATCAATCTGCTGCGTTTTTGATTGGTTGATTATGATTTTTATCAATTGATTTGCTTCTAAGTTATTTCAGTTATGCGTATAACATTTTAAGCTTTTAATATCCAACTGTGGAATAAATAAGCTCTTCACTATTGTTAGTGATGGAAAGTGTAATCTTCTTATGGGCAAACTTGATTTAATTCTTTTGGAAGGTTCTGGAAATTGAGAAAGAAGTTATGGTTTCAAGGCCTGATTATCTACTTTTTCTGGATCCTTAGATAACCCCCACAATAGATGGAAGGGCTACCTCTATCTTAAGAGAACAAAAGGAGTATATTGGTTATTTTCTGTGTCTACCAACTTCATTTCACAAAATTCTCTTGTCCAGACTGTGGATGGGAGAAGACAAGCTTTTCTTGAGAATGGATAACTTTTAACATTTCATTATTTTGGTACCCAAATCTATGTTACCTCTCTATTCCAAAAAGCTTAACCGGGAGTTTAAAGCAAGGTAAGGTTGGTAGTACTGCAAGCTGTCTTGTTGAAGGATACTACAGTCTTTTCTTGAGGCATGAATTCCAGACTTCAGAGGCTACCTGCGGAGAAGACACTTGCATGTGAGCTCACAAACAAATTAAAAAGAAATGGAAAATAAAGCAAGTTAGTAGAAACAAATACAACAAAAATAATCCTGCCAAGTATTTAGATATTGAAATTATTTTACATAGAGTGTGTACATATGTCTATAAAATATGGTTAAAGTAATAAAAGAAAGCATCAAAAGTATGATTAAGGACTAAGAATATAAAAAGTAGTTACACATGGAAAGGAGTCAAACTGAAATTAGAAATGAAAAATGAAAATTACAATTAGAAACTTAAAAGATGGGTTAACTAATGGATAATGTAGTTGAAGATAGAAATAGTGAGCTGAAAGATACAGAGGAAGAAGTTACTTAGAATGCAGCATAGAGAGACAAGGAGAGAAATATGAAAGGTAAAATAAGAAACATGGATAGAGAATGAGAAAATCTGATGTATTAATACAGTGTGTTTCACATCACTAATAGATTTTGGAGGTAGAATACTTGACATAATGGCCAAGATTTCACGGAATTGGTGAATGATGTGGAATCCTACAATGAGGACATGTAAATTGCTTGAGATTTGCTTCTTATAGATAAACTTTTAGTTGGTACTTTCTGCTGACATGTGAGACATGATCATTCTGAACAATTTATTACCTTACAAACTATTAAAGTGTCTTTGTCTCTTTTGTATTTAAAACATTTAAAAATGTCTTATTTTTTTCTTCTCTTTTTAATAGGTGCCAACAATATTAAATTCACTACAGAGAAGTGTACAGGCAGTTTTGGTGGGAAAAATTCAAATTCAGGACTGGTTTAGTAATGGCATTAAGAAAGCAGCTCTAATGCACAAGTGGCCATTAAAAGAAATATCTGTTGATGAAGATGACCAATGTCTCCTTCAGAATGATGGATTTTTTCTTTATCTGTTATGCAAGGATGGATTATACAAAATAGGCTCTGGATACAGTGGAACAGTTAGGGTAATGTGATTCCTAACAATTCTTAATCACAGCTGAGTTATAACTATAATAAATTGTGTTCTTTTTTTCTTCCTAGCTTCACTTTTAGAGTACTAATTTTGGTGTGATAATACTGCTTTGAAGATCATAATTGAAATATATATATATTAACTGTTATTCATTTATATTATTTTTCATTGACTGTTAATTATGAAGCTGTTGGTTGATTAACTTTTGTTGTTTTTTCAGGGCCATATATACAATTCTACATCACGCATCAGAAATAGAAAAGAAAAAAAGTCTTGGTTAGGGTATGCTCAGGTAAGGTAATACCCACAATAAACTAACATTTTCTTATCTTTTAACACATGTGGTTTGGACTTGTTTAGTCAATAAACAGTATTACTTCTGTTTAAACAGAAATGATATATTTTTAATAATATGGCTGTAGCAATGGCACAATATAAAGAACATTAGTTCAGAATTCTTAAAAAGTTCAATTTTAGTTCTGTCCTTGCTTCTTACTGACTGTGTGACTTTGGACAACTCCTTTAACTTATTTGGTCCTGTGCTACTTATCTCTAAAATGGGAATAAAAATACTGTCTTTGGAGTTCTTGTTTAAGTGACTTTCTAGGTAAGAATCGAAGATCACTTTTATCATTAGGACATCTGAATTGGGAATGCAATATAAATGTGACCTGAGCCAAAATTGCTACAAACTCTTTCATTCTAAAACTAGATCCAGTACTTTATAGGGAGCAGTGTTCGGCCTGCCCAGGAGACAGCTACCTGCATAGAGGATCACGCAAAGAGTCATCAAATACAGAAAAGAGCTGGGCCCATGTTGCTGTCTTAATGCTGTGATCTTGTCTCCTGATTAGCGTAGCCCGATGAGTGTCTGCCTCTTACTAGGTCACCAGTTGGTTACATTACTCCTCCTCCCATAGAGAAAAGCAAATTAAGGATGGGCAAGAAGGGCTAGAAATAATTTATTTCCCTGCTATGCTTTCCTGAGTGGTGAAGCCCAGGTTACCTTGTGGAAGGAATAGAGAATAAATATTACCCTACATGTCTGCCTTGCTGAGCTCATAAGATTTGCTGTCAGAATCAAATGATAAAAGATATTTAAAAGTATTTTGAAAATCAATGAGATTATTGTTATGTGAAGAATAATCCTGCCATAACAGCTATTGGGGAATTTTGAAATTGGATTTTAAATATCAAATTAATTTCTCAGTCATTGTCTCTTAAAACTTAACCTGATTTAAAATGTCTCATCAAATTTTTGTTAGCAGTCTACAGTATTTAAGAAATAACGTCATGGGAAATAATCATTATAGCAGTATGTTCAATAGCATATCACATTGTCTAAAACTACTAATCTATTCATTTTGAAATAGCAGCCTTCAGTTATTTTTCCTTAAAATATTTGTTAATGTAACAGTGATCATTTATATTTCTTACTTAGTAAGTGATATAATAATTTTGAACAAAATGTTTGTAGCTGTACTGTCTTGTTTAATGTACCATATATATGTATATATGTGTGTATATGAATGAAGATAATACATTAAATCAATTCCCAATAATGTACAATTCCTCTTCTTATTGGGAGAAATGTTCTTATATTTTTAATCTTTAATATATTTTAGACATCAAGTACTGATTTATTATTGTACCTCAAACAACTGTAACATGGAACTGTATGTTTTTTTAACTGAGTCGGTAATGAAAAAATATTTTAACACAAAATTTTTTTGTTATTATTAGGGTTATTTATTATATAGAGATGTAAATAACCACAGTATGACAGCCGTAAGAATAAGCCCTGAAACACTGGAACAAGATGGTACTGTAATGTTACCAGGTATGTTTCAAGTAATTTTTCTTCACAAGTGATTTTAAGAAATACGCATGTTAGGCTATTTAGACATGTAAAGAATGATTAGCAAGAAATAGTGCTTGCTTACAAATGAATTTTAAAAATCTTGGCATTCAAAATGTTAATACATGTCAAGACAATAGACATCAGAAGTATAGTATAATGAATTTTAATATTTGTTTTCAAATTCTTGACCATTTATGGCCTAAATTGCTTATCTTCACCCACCAAGATGTTTTCAGCTGCTGAATTAGTAGGGTGATTCTTAATAAAAATCACAACTCTGGCTCTCATATGACTCAGTACAAAGAAGCTTCTATTTATTTTTACTTTAACAACAGTACACTTGAATTTTCTTCTTTGTTTAAAGGATTTTCAAAGATAGAGTTTAGAATGGGTCTGTAAATTTTTTTAAAATTCCATTATTTATACTTTTAAATAATACTCTGATAAGGCACTTTGGACACAATTGATTTTGCTTTAATTTTGAGTGGGCATATATATTCATCACTCAATTTACCACTGTTTAAATTCTGAGGCAGAAGGTCTCAAATTTTGTGGAACGGTGGGAGAATGCATATTCTTCATTATGAGGTCTTTGAATTTGCTTTAACTTTTGAAACTTTCTAAAGTCATTTATATTAAAATCTTGAATGTCCAATGCATCTGTCAATAATTTTACAATAAGCAGCAGCATTACTTCTAGGCACTTGACCATCTGAAAATGAGAGCTACTTTGGAAGAATACATAGAGAAGGATACTTGCTCCCAGGCTGTTTGTTAATTTTTAAAATCTTCTTATAACTTCATCAAACATTTATTTGAACCTTACTAACTATACTTTTGTACAAGTTAGTGTAAATGACACTATGTTGAAGTAAATGGCATATTTCATGTCCATTTCACAAACATAGTTGCTTTAGAAAACAGGTGACTTAATAGAATCACTTTGTAAATAACTATTTTGAAAATATCTACAGGTTTGGTTTCCTTTTTTCATCATAAGTTTTGGGCCCTGTCTTTGGTCATAATAATAATAACAATAGTAATCTTAAAAAATATTTTTAATAATGCACAGTTCCCCCATATATATATATGTATATATATATATATATATATATATATATATATAATAATCGTATTTACTGTATAGAATATAAGAGCAAAAAGAAATCAATTGAAAATAATTTAACCCTACTTCCTATATATAAACATTATTATCATATTGGTAAATATCTTTCTTGTATTTTTCCTATGTGTGTGTATATATATTTATAAAAAAGTGATTATATGCTACATAATGCTTTTTTAACCTGTCCTTTTCACTTATTATTCTGAATATATTTGTAGGCCATTAAACAGCCTCTACAACATCACTTTAATGTTACAAAATACGTTCCATTGATAAATGTGTTGAAAGAGAGCCTTCCAGTTTTTTACTATGTAAATTTCACTGTAATGAGCATCCATATTGCTCTGTCTTTGTGCAAGTCATTTTAGGATAATCTTTTAGAATTCGAAATTGACAAATCCCATCCCTCACAACAGATGGATGCTAATGTAAGGGATTTACTTCTTAAGAGAAACTCTGCTTATTTCATAGAGATAGTGACTTAGAAGACAATTTAAAAATATCTGCCTAACCTGTTTTATTTATTCCGCCATGATTAAAAAATTACTTGTTAATGTCCTTATTCAGTTTAAATCCCTCTGCATCATTTAACATATGAAATGCAACTTTGAACAATACAAGTGTCGCTTTCTGTGTTTTATAAATATGTGCTGTACTAGTGGTGAAGAATGAACTAAACTTTGGGAGGAAAGTTCCATATTGTGTGTCTTCTGAACTGGCAGACGTTGCTTGAGATATTCCTGAAGATACTCTCTTATAATATCACGTGACAGAGAAAGGATGAAGAGAAAGTCTTGAAATCATGTGGCAGGAAGACGACTCCCTCAAGCTTGAAGAAACCTATTGTTATTTTCTCATTTCTTTGACCTGGACTGAATGTTCTTCAGTAGTACTTTTTGTTTTTCTTTGGTAGGGTCAACTCTGCTCTGTATCTTTCCCGTCAAGGAGCAGAAATGAATTTTTATGTTTATAGATAGTAATGAATGGCATGTTTAAAATTGACATAAATCACGTAATTCCTTGAGCTTCATGTTCCAACTTGTCTTACTGCCTGGTTTATAAAAAAAAAATTATTTCAACCTAGTGTTGGCGAACATACTTTTTCCCTGATAACTGTCATTTTATTCTTTACATCTCGGCTTACCTTACAGATTGTATCCTTATGTCGTTTACTCTCTGTGTCTGGTGACAGATTGCCTCAGATCACAAGGAGGCTTTTTAAAGCTACTCTTCTTGCGCCGCTTCATTCCTCACCCCTGCATATATCTGAAATTATAATGAGTTTTTCTTCTTTGCTTTTTAGTTTAAAATCTTACTGCTTAGAGCTTGAGAAGCATCTTTCTTGCGCCTCTTTGTATTCTGTACAGTGGACTAGGAACTCTTTCTTTCGATTTCTCCTCTCTTTGATTACCAAGTCTCTTGGGCTACCGGTGGGCCTTGTCTCCCAGTTTCTATTTCCAGTTTGTGATCACTGAATTCTCTATTTGGTAAGGGTCTGCCTGTGTTTTGCATATTTATAATAAGGAAGTATGCTAGTATGAAGCTCCTGGGCAAAGATATAGAGTAATACAGTTTATTTGGGTGGGCTCCATTACTACATTCCAAAACAGAATTTTGTGTTTTGTTGATTCAAGTGTAACTAGAAATTTTTTTTTTTTTTGTATTGTGATTAATGGAGAGATTCATCCTAGTTCTTTGCAGTTATTTTGGGAAGTGTGTGTGCTTTAATACTTGCTTGCTGAACAATTTTTTTTGGGTAAAGGATATAGTTTATACTTAGATGTTGATTTTGCTTGTAGTTTTGTGTTATTTAGTAGTAATCACTAACTCTTGTTCCTCTGGTCCTTCTGTAATACTGGTATCCCTTGTTACAGTTGAACTGGCACGTTATTTCTTTTTCATGAAAGTTTGCAGTACACTATTTGACAGAGATATATACAGTATTGATAAAACATGTTATTCTAGCCAAGATATATGAGACAAAAATAAATACATAAGCATAGATTTGTTTGCTCTTTCTTGGATGAATGTTTCAAGACTTTAGGGCATGCTAGATGCCAAAAATGACGGAATTAAACATTGTACTTCTAAGTGGGAAATGTACAAATGATTTTGCATATCATCTGTTTTATAAACCAAGGGATATCTGTAGTTGGACACTATAGAGTTCAAATACAGAAGCTTTAGGTCTACCTGCATTTTTCTGTGGCACTAATGACTGTGATGTACGTCTAAGCATAGAGTGTTGCCTCCATCGCATGTGATTGTTTTGAAATGATTATAACCAACATGGTAGTTTGTTCATCGTGATGCATGTTTACTATCAGACGGTATCTAATACTAATTCATTTTGAAATTAGGTAGGATTTCAGGTTCATGGTTGTGGATGATTTATAAATGTAAGCACAAAATGTAATAAGATTTATTAGTTGAATTATTTAGTTTCTGCTAACTTATAATTCTTTATTAAGAAGTGCAATCTCCTTTTGAGTTTAAGTTTATCTGTATTGTGTGGAGAACTCTCATTTTGACTTCAACAGAGGAGTAAATTTATTTGTGAGGTGTTTATTTCTATTGTAATATAATTACTTCTTCTTCCTTTTGCACAGATTGCCATGCTGAAGGTCAAAATATTTTATTCACTGATGGAGAATATATAAATCAAATAGCTGCTTCAAGAGATGTAAGTACTCTAAAAAAGTAATTACTGTAAATGAAATTTTTTTTTCTCTTAAATTATTTAGTTTTTATTGAATAGACTATAGAATCTTAAAGATCTGTGGATGCAGTGTCATGCTATGGATGTTTTATTTTATTTTTTTAGGATGGCTTTGTTGTCAGAATATTTGCCACAAGCACTGAGCCTGTGCTGCAACAAGAATTACAACTTAAACTGGCCAGAAAATGCTTACATGCCTGTGGTATCTCACTATTTGATCTGGAAAAGGACTTGCATATTATAAGTAAGATGGCAAAATAAGCCATTTTCCCATATTTTAATCGCCAGTTTTAAAAATTATTTTAGGGCAACCCCTTCAGGTCCCCTTCCACTGTGGGAGCTTTTCTGTCCTCTTTAAATCATGCTTTCTCAAAAATAAACAAACAAATAAATAAATATTCTTTTAAAAACTAACATTGTGTTTTTAGCAACTCAGTTCATATTTTACCAGCATTTTGGTGTCTGTTACTACAAAGTACAATTTTGAATTAATATGTATAAGTAACTAGGAAACATGGACTTTAAGCAGAGTGTGATATTTGAAAAACATTTTAAAGAAGTGACTGATGATTTTTTTTTTTTTTTTGAGTTGAAGTCTCACTTTGTTGCCCAGATTGGAGTGCAGTGGCACGCTCCTAGCCACTGCAACCTTCACCTACTGGGCTCCGGCGATCCTTTCACTTAGCCTTCCAAGTGGCTGAAACTACAGGCGCACGCTACCATGCCTGGCTAATTTTTTTATTTATTGTAGAGATGAGGTCTCACCAAGTTGCTCAGGTGGGTCTTGAACCCATGTACTCCCAAAGCGCAGGATTACAGGCTGTCACCGAGCCTGGCCTAATTTTCTATTTTCATTTTGAATAGAGTGAAAGAAAATAAACTTGAATTTAATAAGAATTAGGAGTGACACTGGTGGACATCATTAGTTACACTTCATCTTTATTCAGTTATTTAAAAATTTGAAAACTTAATATCATAACTGTTACTACAATAATATACATAGTTCTTGCATTGAAATTTTTAATTTATGTTTGAACAGATTTTTAAGATAGCCATAGAATGAGTCCATAGATTAAGAAGATGGAAATTACCTTATAAACTGATTAATAATCTTTCATTTAGATACAGAAATACAGCCACAGACTATTTCTTGGACTTTGATGACTTACTCTAGCAATGTGCAGAAGTAATTAGGATTATGAGTTCCCATGAGGGTCTCAATTTGGTTTGCCTTTAGACCTGCCATTTTAGGTGTAAGAATACCATTCTTTAACTTGAGACGGGGTATTTACAAGAGCCACCTTTTTTGGACTGGTTGCCCCATTAATTTTAATTGACATTAGCATGCTACAGTCTTCCATAGGAAAAATATTGAATTGAGGTTATAGATTTCAAAATTTAAAAGTCCATAATCTAATTAGTAATTTGTATAATGGGACAAAATCATGAAATGTACTATATATAATGTTATAATTACTTATAGTTTGAAAATATGTATAAGGATCAGTGTGTGTATATGTGCATATATGTATTTAAATTTATGGGGTAACTACATTAGAATGTTCCTCTGTGGAAAAAAGCATGTGACAGGAAATCTGAAATACTTCAATATTAATATGTGCAGGGCAGTGTTTAAGCCTAAAGGATTCTGTGTCTGTGTCTGGACCAACCTCCCCAAGCTTTATATTCGATTATTAGTAGACAAAGCAATACAGTTGTGAGAATCAAATAAGGTTTATGAACTCTTTAGTGCCTGGTAATTAATAACAGATCAATCAAAATGTGGTCATTTATATATTGATTCAAGGAATATTGCCGACATTGAATTTTATATATTTTTGGTTTCTATTTTTAAAGTTAATTTGGGACTAGTTTGGAACAAGATAAGCCAATTATGGTAACTTTCTTTCCTTGGAGTAGTGTTCTATTATTGTTAATATTTTTTAAAATTCATGCATATGACATTTTGTCATTCTTGTCTTTGAGTGATATTAATTGAATTGACATTTTAATTATGCGAAATAGTGCATGTTGTACTTGGGATTATTTATATTACAAATGCAGTAGTATTTATTAGTTTTGTGTTTTAGGTACAGGATTTGATGAGGAGTCAGCAATTCTTGGTGCAGGACGAGAGTTTGCACTAATGAAAACAGCAAATGGAAAGGTAAGTTACCAGTTTATATAGTAAGTTATTAGTTTATGTAGTTTACATATTTAAAGATAATCTTCTTTTACCTTTTGATTTAAAATTATTTTGTTTTTTATATGAGAAAATTTTGTTGAAAATAGTACAGGCATACCTTCTGCTTTGCTTTATTGCACTTTACAGATAATACTTTTTTTTTTTTTTTTTTAACAAATTGAGCATTTGTGGCAACCCTGCATTGGTGCCATTTTTTCAACAGTGTGCTCTTACTGCACTTTGGCAATTCTTGAAATATTTCAGTGTTCTTCATTATTAATATATCTGTCATGGTGATCTGTGATTAGTGATCTTTGGGGTTACTACTGTAATTGTTTTGGTGCACCATGAATTGTGCCTATATGAGATGGTGAACTTAAAAGATAAATGTGGTGCTTGTGTCCTCTGTGCTCTGTGGACCAGCCACTCCCTCATCTCTCTCCTTCTCCTTGGGTCTCCCTATTCCCTGATAAATAGCAACACTGAAATTAGGCCAATTAATAGTCATACAATGGTCTCTAAGTGTTCAAGTAAAAGTAAGAGTCACACATTTCTCACTTTAAATCTATAGCTAGAAATGATGAACCTTAGTGAGAAAGGCACGTCAAAAGCTGAGACAAGCTGAAAGTTAGGCCTCTTGCGCCAATCAGTAAACCAAGTTGTGAATGCAAAGGAAAAGTTCTTGAAGGAAATTAAAAGTGCTTGCTCCAGTGAACATGAATGATAAGAATGCAAACTAGCCTTTGTTGCTGATATGGAGAAAGTTTGAGCAGTCTAGACAGAAGATCAAGGCAGTCACAACATTCCCTTAAGCCAAATCTTAATACAGAGCAGGCCCTAACTTTCTTTAGTTTTGTGAAGGCTGAGAGAAGTGAGCAAGTTGCAGAAGAAAATTTGGAAGCTAACAGAGGTTGGTTCATGAAGTTTAAGGAAGGAAGCCATCTCTGTAACATAAAAGTGCAAGGGGAAGCAGCAAGTGCTGATGCAAAAGCTGGAGCAAGTTATTCAGAAGATCTAGCTAAAGATCATTGATGAAGGTGACTACACTGAACAACAGATCTTCAGTGTAGATGAAACAGCCTACTTCTCAAATAACAAGAGACCTAGAATTATAACTGGGGCCTGAGTATGTGACTGAATTCCTGCTATTTCATGATAACGCGTTTACAAATGAGGATTGCTTCTTAAGGATGAGCAAAGAAAGTAGTTTCTTGAGATGGAATCTACACCTGGTAAAGGGTCTATGAACATTGTTGAAATGACAACAAAGGATTGAGAATACGCCATAAACTTAGTTGATAAAGCAGCAGCAGGGTTTGAGAGGGTTTACTTCAATTGTGAAAAAAGTTCTACCTTGGGTAAAATGCTATCAAGCAGCATCACATGCTACAGAGAAGTCTTTTGTGAACGGAAGAGTCAATCAATGTGGCCAAGTTTGTCGTCTTTAAGAAATTGCCACAGCCACCCCCACCTTCAGCAACCATCACCCTGATCAGTCAGCAGCCATCAGCATTGAGAGAAGACCCTCCATCAACAAAAGGATTACAGCTCGCTGAATGCTCCATAATTGTTAGCATTTTTGAGCAATGAAATATTTTATATATATACACACACACACACACACACACACACACACATATTAGACATAATGCTATTGCATACTTAGTAGACTACAGTATAGTATAAACAAAACTTTTATATACACTGGGAACCCCCAAAATTTGAGTGACTTGCTTTGTTGTGGTGGCCTGGAAGCAAGCCTGCAGTATCTCTGAGGTATGCCTTATTATGAAGCAAAATTGTGACATTTAAGACTATAAAATCTCATAGACTTTGTAAAATGTTTTATTTCAGTAGATATTTAATTTTTATTATGGAACTGTTTAATTTTGTGAGTTAGGGTGAATTCATATTTTATGTTTATTTTGATGAATAGACTACTTATTGCAACTTTCTGTAAATGCAGAAATAAACAGACTACAAATTGGAGAAACAGAAGCATGTATAATTGTTATAGATTATAGAGGTCTGTTTGTAGAGTTGGAAGCTTCTTTCTTTTTTAGCGGATGTGACAGGAAAGCAAGATAATTCAAAGAATTCTAAAACTCAAAATTATTATGTGAATAGAGTATTTTGTATGTAGATTTTTGCAACTGGGAAAAGTGATTGAAAACTTTGTGAATTTCCTACTTCTGTGAGTTCAGAGTATATGGAAATATAAATATGAAAAATTAGAAGTATTCTGAATAAGTATAAAAACTATTATGAACTATTTTGGCAAAATAATATATATTTCTCTCTTGCTCAGCTCACAGAAGTTGAATAGTATAAAAAAGAGTGATTTCTTGGTTATTTTTGTTTTTCAATAAAATATGGACACTTTTTTTTTCTCATGTGACTTCTGATGCACTACTCCCAAAGTACCATAATTCACCTCCTCCCTTTTCTTTTTATATATATATATATATATATAAGATATATTACACGGGCAAGTACCAGAGTCTTGGAATCAAGCAAGGTGGTCCTTCAGCAGGCAAATGGGTTGAACTACCAATTACGAAATCTCCCAAGATAGTGCACTTCTCAGTTGGACACGATGGCTCTCATGCCCTTTTAGTTGCAGAAGATGGAAGCATATTCTTTACAGGATCTGCTAGTAAAGGAGAAGATGGAGAGTCAAGTAAGTTGACTAATCAACTGAACATTTAGTAACAATAGTGTGTAATTTATTTTCAAAACTTTATCAATTTTAGTAACACAGACTTCAACAAGTTAATAGAGCATTTTATATTTATATTCAGTAGATAGTGGTGGGTTACTATTTGTTAAATAAATAAGATTGCTGATTTCATTCTAGCATTCATATGCATGAAAATGTATGTGTTATGGATACATGGTTGTTCATCTGAGGACATATGTTTATTTTGTTATGTCAGTGTTATTTTTAAAAACTTATTTATTTCAGTAGATTATTTTAGAAAACCAAAAATTTTGGAAGGAAAATATATTACCTTGAATAAAAGTAAACCTTATGTAATCTTGTGTGATAGTTGGCTATGGATTACTGTTTTTGGTGTTATTTCTCTGTGATGAAATGTCAGCAATGAGAAATAAATTTCAAAATCATTGCTGATTTGTTTATATCTTATATTTTGTGTATTCCTGTTCAGAGTCTTCCTCAGAGTGTCATTTTTCTCTTTATATAAGTTCTCACATACTTTACATTACAGCATATTGGAATAGCATCTTATAGGGATTAGGTTTTGAAGTTAACACAGAATGTAAAAGTCATATGAAAATAAAAGTGAGGCTGGAGTAATCCCTTAAAATAGCCATTAACTCAGAAACCTTAAGCACAGCAAGTTTTTTCTTCTAGCATTTGGAGGACATTGTTTTTTCTTTGGTTGAGTTCCAGAAAAAGTAATAACAGTATGTATGGATTTTGATTATGTTATATGAAATATATATTGGTATTTTTAGCCTCAGCACTACAGTATGTTTTTATTCTGAAAGGCTTGGGAACTGGGGTTGATTGAAGGAACATCTGATGGATGTTTCTCATCTTGTCTAGTTCAAGGATTCAGTTTTTGAGAGCAGTGGCTGCTGGAATCAACACATTTAAAATTATTTGTTCTACTTCCGTGTGTGTATCTCCCTTCTTTACATTGACTTGGTGTAACTGCTTAACAAATACACGAATGAGGAAACTTTTCACTGCCTAGCATAAGAATCCTTGTGAGTTACAGTTTGAGAAAAGAGGAGATTTTCTATATGTGATAATGGACTGATGCTGATAATGTATAGCTAATCCAGAGGTTAGATCCCCCAGAAGTTGGGTAGGAGACTAGTGCTTCCCACTGGTAATTTCAGTATACTGCAAGAAAGAAGGATCTGATGGTGATAACCTAGACATTAATTGACCAGATGAGGCTAGCAAGCTAACTCATTTTAATTTATATGTTGGAAAACCCAATCCTTTGTGAAACTAAATGAATAAAGTGTATCATAAGTGCAAATAATTATTTTTTATTTGGAATTTTTATACAGACCATTATTATTTTGCTTGTACATAGATGTCTTAATTAAATTTTTTTTTTAAAGCTAAAAGCAGGCGGCAGTCAAAACCCTATAAACCTAAAAAGATCATTAAGATGGAAGGAAAGATTGTGGTATATACAGCCTGCAATAACGGAAGTAGTTCTGTTATTTCTAAAGATGGAGAACTATACATGTTTGGAAAAGATGCCATTTACTCTGATAGTTCAAGTAAGTTTAAACAACTTAAACATCATTTTATTTTATACCAAGAAGTTTCAATACTAGTCACAATATATTACAAAGGTATGTCTAGGAAATTAGTATTTGTAGCATACTTTTTCTAAATCTTTTTCATTTTCTCTCAAATATAAAACATTTTGGAAAGAAATTGTCCATCATGTCTTGTCACTAGAACACTATCCCTAGTTTCATTCAGAGGTATTCATCGAGCTTGATGAATGAAATTAGTTGCATAACAAAGCTGATTTATAATTGCTGTGTTATCTCCTTATTAGGTTGTTGAGGTGGGATTATTTTTCTCTTACTGTTTTATCCTCAATGTCTGGCATGTGGTAGGTGCTCAAGAATTATTTGTTAAGTGATTGGGTGACTGATAAACCAAAAGTTTAGGTAAATATGAAGGACGGAACTAGCTAAATAGTTTTATAGTTAAACACTTTAATCTAAAAAACCTGTCATATTTGATTGCTGGATTTTCTTTCCAGCAGTTAGAAATGAGTATCATGAAATCCATCCCACATGGAAGGATTTATATGAAATAAACATGTAAAACTTGAATTTCTTTATTAAAAGGAAACCAAAATTGAAGCTTGTGAAATTGAACAATTGAAAGCAAAATTGAAGTTTGTGATTAGAAATTTAAGTGTCTCATGTTGGGAAAATGACACATAGAGAACATTTATAGCAATTATTTATTAAGTTGAGCTATACCCAGATGATAGGTGAACTGGCTTAATGTGGTAATATTTAGATCAGGTATGTCCAACCCATGGACTGTATGTGACCCAGGACAGCTAATAATGTGGCCCCACATAATTTTTTAGCATTTATTTTCTTCATGACCCCATGTGTAGTTCCATTTCTGAGGTTCAAATCATGCTTTATTCATGACATTGCTTTTTGGCAGCACATACATTTGTGAGCAGCTGTTTTCAATTATGAAGCACACGAAGAGCAAAATTTCAACAAATATTTCTGACAAGCACCTTGAGAACTCACTAAGAATTGCAACCACTTCCATTGAACCAGACATTGATAGTCTAGTTTTACAAAAGCAAGGTCAGATTTCTCACTAGTTTTATATTGTTCTCATTTTTCTAAACTTTATAATAAAAATATAAAAAATAAAAGAAGTCTTACTATATATTTACACTAACTATACAATATATGTATGTGTGACCCAAGATGATTTCTCTTTACTTGATGTGGTTCAGGGAAGCCAAAAACTTTGACACCCCTGATTTAGATTCTCAGTTGGCTACAACTGTCAGTGAATCAAAATTTTGAAGTGGAGTCATGCACAGTTTAAAAATAATGTTCAATATAATTGTTGCTTATTAAAGTTTTTTTGACTAGGGCTGCTGAAAATTTGTTTTTATTCAGCATATATTTGTTGAATACTGATGACATATCAAGGATTGGTGGACTGGACAGATATGGTCCCTGTGAGGACCCAAGAGATGATTGGGTATTATAGAACCTAAGTATTGGAGAGGTATGGCTTAGTGGCTATGGACCTAGACTCAGATTGTGGCACCAACATTTTAAAATTCGGTAACAGTATACTTAACATTTCAGTGCTTATTTTCTGTTTTTGTGACTTGGCAGAAGGTAGCTAATGGTACTACCTGCTTCATATGGCGATTATAAAGTTTTAGGAGACAATGACTAATAAATGCGTAGCACAGAGCCTGGCATATGTACAGTCTAAAGACACGTCAACTTAATAAAAATAAAACTGCTATTATATCTACTCGTATGCCAAAAAATGTACTCACATTTTAAGAGATGGTATCTATTTATTACTTTTAGTTCACTGTAATCAGAAGTGTCAGGACACTAATGGTAACCACTTTGAGCATCTCTTGTAATTGCAGAAGTCAAATGTGTCTTGTATTCATCTTTTGTTTCAGTGATATATATTATTACAATTTTAATACAGTTTTTCCTTTTTTAAAATGTGTACACACACACACACACACACACACACACACACACACACACACCCCATTTTTTCCAAGTCTACTATATACTAAAAGTTGTAGTTTTTGAGGTGTAATTAACAAGAAGCCCTAATCTATTATAAGGTGAAAGTGCAGGCCACCCTGGGCAAGTGCTATCAGAGCTAATAATGTAGAACAGTTTTCCCAAAGTGTGATGTGTGATTGATATTATTTGTAATTTAAATTAAACGAATACTTGAATTTTTAAAAAAATTTTGTTTTAATGTATATTAGAAAAATATTCTTTTACATTATCATCTCTACTTGATAAGTTTAAAAATGTTTCAATTTAAAGTTGATACAAAAATATTAAGTAAATAATATGAATGGCACTTAGATATGACAAGTATAATGAAAGCAATATGTGAGTAAGTGATTAGAAAATAGCTGTGTGTTGGATGAAAAGGACTGAAAAATACTGCTTTGGAAAATTTCTTAGGTTTTTAACAATAACAGTGTCTTTTCAGTATACTGTGGCAAGTGTTTCACTTTGTGCTGAGGCAGATTAAGCAGGCAAAGTAAATGATGTATGGGCTACTTTGCTTAGATCAGAAAAATTTGAGAACTACAGACCCTCCTGAGTGCTGTTGAGAGCTGTTGGCATTTGGAAAAAGCACTTAGGAGAAGTAAGCTTGAGAGGAAGCTATAGTAAAGATTTGTTTCAAGTCTGAAGGATAACATTTTAAGATTCATTTAAGATTCATTACAAAATTAATTTAATGATACTCTACCAATCTTTTGGCCTCTTATTTCCCATTTTGGTGAATTATTTTGCCTTGGAAATAAAATGTTCTGCATGGAGGTTTTTTTATTTTTTAATTTTTTAACTAGCCTCAGTAGGGCTTTTTGTGGTCTTGTTTTTATTTTTTCCAAATTTGTATCTTTCCTTTAGGTTTGGTAACTGATTTGAAGGGCCATTTTGTAACTCAGGTCGCTATGGGCAAAGCCCATACTTGTGTTTTAATGAAAAATGGAGAAGTCTGGACATTTGGTGTAAATAATAAAGGACAATGTGGACGAGACACTGGTGCCATGAACCAAGGAGGGAAAGGTAGGAGTTTAATTTTTGGATATTAAAATTTGTGTTGTCTTTTCGTTAGTTTCTTAGAACAACATAGTGAAGAATCTTACTGTCTTTAAAATGATTGACTCTTTGATTTCATATTTATGAATTAGGAAAACCACTGAATTATTTATTTGATAATAATTACTGATAAAAATGTGTCACTGGAAAAATCAAATATACTCTTGATTTTTAATTTCTGAGCAAATGAACTGGCTTACTTTTTATATGCCTTTCTAAATTCTACATAAAATATAATAGTGTCTCTTTGAGCATTTTTGGTAACTAAATTATTCCAGAAAAGTGAATTTTCTAAACTCTGTGCTATTAGCTCTGTGCTATTAGCTCTTTTTTTTTTTTTTTGAGTTAGAGTCTCACTCAGTCGCCCAGACTGGAGTGCAGTGGCTGCTTCCGGCCACCGCAGCCTCGACCCGCTGGGCTCCGGCGATCCTTCCACCTCAGCCTTCCGAGTAGCCGGAATTACAGGCGCACGCTACCACGCCTGGCTGATTTTTTTGATTTAATGTAGAGGTGAGGTCTCGCTGCCCAGGCGGGTCTCGAACTCGCGGGCTCAGGCAATCCACTCACCTCAGCCTCCCAGAGGCACGGGATTACAGGCTGAGCCACCGAGCCCGGCTAGCTCTTTTTATCTCACATGTTTTCAGTTTTAACAATTTTTAGCAACAGTCTATCTGGCATATATTATCTTCCCATTTAAAGGCATGTGCTTCCTGTAATTTAACCCGTTAGTGATAACTAAAAGTGATCCTGTTAATATTTGACTCTGAACATATCAAGAAAAGACTAAAATGTAGATGTGCCTTCTTCACAGTATCCTTTGCCCCGACCCTCAGGCTTTTGAGGAAATTGAGGAGTTATTCTTTTATTGTCCTGCTTGTTGGTGTCTTTGTTTTTGTTGTCATTTTAAATAGTGTATCTAGGAGGAGGACTCAAAAAACCCTGGAATTTATTTATAAAAAATTGTGTATTTATTCTTACATGTTCAAATTTTAGTCACCTTCCAAGTACTCTCCGTTTGGTACAATACACCTATCAAGCTGCTTTTTCCATTGCTAAAAACAGTTCTTGAACTCAATTTTGATACCCTTTAGTTCTTCTATTGTTTTTTTGTTTCACCTCTCCTATATCAGCAAAAACATTTCCCTTTGAAGACTTGTCTTTTATCCAGGAATCAAAAAAGTCACTTGGGATGAGATCAGGTGATAGGGGAGAGTTGGGTATAGGGGGTCGTGCTGTTTTTGGACAAAAACTGCTGAACACTCTGCAGTGTGGGCAGGTGCGGTTGTAAGTCACCCATCATGAAATGGGCAAACGCATTGAACGTCTCCAAAAAAATTAACTAAAGTCAAGCACAGCCTCTCACAGCAACGCTAGTTGGTGTACTGATGCTGATGGGCTGTTCCTAGAACACTTACCTAGTGGGGGAAGCTTGTACCACAAGGGGCCCACCCTCCAAAATATAATTCTGGTGTTTTTTTTGGTTGGTGGAGTCCTCCTCATACCTTCTTTCTGCTTTCAGTTTTTACATCTGGCTGTTCTTAGTGTGTCTGTATCCTTTCTCCGATTTCTGGTTTTCTGTTTTTGAGTTTGCATGGGCTGGAGAATAAGACAATACATACATTTCTTAGGAGAAATTTTGTAATAATCAAAATGAAATTGTTAATTAGGAATCACGTCTACTCTGTTTAGTAAGTAATGCATTAGAAAACAAATGAGTCAGGTAAGATACATAAGATCAATACGGATTGCAGAGTCTTAACAAATGATAAGAAGGTTGCAGAGAAAGAGGAATGCTTGTTCACTGTTGGGTGGAAGTGTAAATTAATACAGCAACTATGGAAAACAGGTTTTTAAAATATGTATGAAAGTTCCTCAGAAAACTGAAAATAGAGCTACCATACGATCCAGCAGAATAAAAAAGAAAGGAAATTAAAAAAAAAAAAGAGAAATCAGTATGTTGAAGAGATATCTGTATTCTCATGTTTATTGTAGCATTATTCACAACAGCAGAGATATAGAATCAACCTAAGCTGAGCTCGGTGGCTTAGCCTGTAATCCTGCGCCTTTGGGAGGCTGAGGTGAGTGGATTGCCTGAGCCCGCGGGTTCGAGACCTGCCTGGGCAAGCGAGACCTCATCTCTACAATAAATAAAAAAATTAGCCGGGCATGGTAGTGTGCACCTGTAATTCCGGCTAG